CAGTCCCTATTAGTCCAGTCTCTGTTAGTCCGGTCCCTGTTAGTCCAGTCACTGTTAGTCCAGTCCCTATTAGTCCAGTCTCTGTTAGTCCGGTCCCTGTTAGTCCAGTCACTGTTAGTCCAGTCCCTGTTAGTCCAGTCTCTGTTAGTCCGGTCCCTGTTAGTCCAGTCACTGTTAGTCCAGTCCCTGTTAGTCCAGTCTCTGTTAGTCCAGTCTCTGTTAGTCCTATCCCTGTTAGTCCGATCCCTGTTAGTCCGATCCCTGTTAGTCCAGTCTCTGTTAGTCCGGTCCCTGTTAGTCCTATCCCTGTTAGTCCTATCCCTGTTAGTCCGGTCCCTGTTAGTCCAATCTCTGTTAGTCCAATCTCTGTTAGTCCAGTCTCTGTTAGTCCGATCCCTGTTAGTCCGGTCCCTGTTAGTCCGGTCCCTGTTAGTCCGGTCCCTGTCAGTCCGGTCCCTGTCAGTCCGGTCCCTGTTAGTCCGGTCCCTGTTAGTCCGGTCCCTGTCAGTACGGTCCCTGTTAGTCCGGTCCCTGTTAGTCCGGTCCCTGTTAGTCCAGTTCCTGTTAGTCCGGTCCCTGTTAGTCCAGTCCCCGATAGTCCGGTCCCCGATAGTCCGGTCCCTGTTAGTCCAGTCACTGTTAGTCCAGTCTCTGTTAGTCCAGTCTCTGTTAGTCCAGTCCCTGTTAGTCCAGTCCCTGTTAGTCCGGTCCCTGTTAGTCCGATCCCTGTTAGTCCAGTCCCTGTTAGTCCAGTCCCTGTTAGTCCAATCTCTGTTAGTCCAGTCTCTGTTAGTCCGATCCCTGTTAGTCCGGTCCCTGTTAGTCCGGTCCCTGTCAGTCCTGTCCCTGTTAGTCCGGTCCCTGTCAGTCCGGTCCCTGTCAGTCCGGTCCCTGTTAGTCCGGTCCCTGTTAGTCCGGTCCCTGTCAGTCCGGTCCCTGTCAGTCCGGTCCCTGTTAGTCCGATCCCTGTTAGTCCAGTCCCCGATAGTCCGGTCCCTGTTAGTCCAGTCCCCGATAGTCCGGTCCCTGTTAGTCCAGTCCCT